CTTCCTAGCCACTCCACATAGGGCACCCATTTGTCTGCTCCCACATGAGTCAAGGCTCTGTTCTTGGCCACACACGCGCTCCGCACCGCATCAGGCCAGAAATAGTCGGGTAGCCCGGCTTCAATGAGCAACCCGCGTGCCGCCTCCGTGATTGTGCGGTTCGCTCGCTCGGCGATGCCGTTCATTGCAGGGGAGTATGGCATGGTGAGGGAGTGCCGAATACCATTCTTCTTCAGCCACAACCCAAACTCCTTGCTCAGGAACTCTCCCCCTCGATCGGTGCGGATTGACTTGACTAGACGGTCTTGTTGCCGCTCCACCATCGGGAACCAATCCGTCTTCAACGTTTCAGCCACGTCGCTCTTCTTGGCCAGCACGTACACCCAAGTCATGTGGGTGTAGACGTCGACAATGGTTAGAAAATACTCAGCTCCAGCAGCTCCAAGCTTCAGGGGGCCCACCACGTCCATCACCACCTCATCAAGCGGTGCCTTTGCCGTTGCCTCCGAACTAGGGAACGGAAACCGGGTGAACTTGGCTTGAATGCACGTCGGGCAGCCAAGCACCTCATCGGGCTCCCCCTTCACACGTATGCCAGCAACCATCTCATTCTTCACTAGCTGCTGCAAGATGGGCAGGGCCACATGCCCCATGCGCCGATGCAAGGTGAGCCAATCACACTCCCCCGTAGCCGAAGTTGGATTGGAGAATGCCGCAATCGCAATAGCGCCCCACATACTCTCTCCGTAGTCCTCCTCCGCTGCTGCCTCTGGGTTCTCCTCACCCTTTTGCTGCTCCTTGGTTGCTGCACCACTCTCCTTAGGTTCACTGAACTTGCTGGTCCCTCCAGGTTTGCTCTTCTTGAGCTCATTCTCCTTAGCGCGACCGTTCGCGCCATCGTCGCTACCGACCGCTCCATCCTTGGTGCTGATGCTTGCTGCCACTTGCCTCTCCTTAGGCATAGGGACCACTGGGATCTGCCACATCTCGTTGTACACATCCCTGTCCTCATGAAGGTCCCAAAGAATTCGATCGCCAAGCCTTGCGGTGTAGGTCTTGGCTCCCTTCGAGTTCGTGTCCATGCCGGCCTTTGCCAACCGCCGCACGGAAATCAGGTTTGCAGCAAGGCTGGGCACCCAAAGCACGTTCTTGAGGCCCACCATCTTCCCATCAGCACCCTTGAACATGGCCTTGCCCATGCCTTTCACCTCTGCTCGCTGCCCCAAAGCCGATGTGACATGCTTCACCGGTGACGGCTCGAGTTCGGTGAGCAAGTCCGGGCGAGGTGTCATGCTATAGGTAGCGCCACTATCAATCACCCAATAGTCCAGGGGGTGTAGGGTCACCTTCCCCACAGCTGCTGGCTCCTCAAAGCCTTCATCCTTCTCTGGACCAGCCGGTACTTGCGTCGACACGAAGTAGAATAGACCCGGGTATCGATCGTCGCTCGGGTCCTTGTCGTTGTCTCCGCTCTTCATGTTTGCAGCTCCGCCACCGCGACCGCCACGGCCTCCACGGCCTCGTCCTCTCCCTCCTCCTGCTCCTCTACCCTCTTGGCCTTGAGCAGGGGTCCAACCATCAGGGAGTTTGTAGCAGTCGCGCCACATGTGTCCGCTCTTGTGGCAATAGTGACACTCGCCGTCGAATCGGCCGCGACCGCGTCCGTAGCTCTTGTCGTCGCTGCCGTAACCGCCACTCCTGCGGCCTCCGCCGAAGTTGCTGCCACCAAACCTTCCTCCCCCTCGTCCTCTGCCTCTTCCTCGACCATATCCACGGCCGATGCTCGCTGCCCCAGCGCCATCCGCACTCGCCAACTCACGGCGGCGGAAATCCTCTTGAAGGATAGCTCGCTTCACGTCTTCAAGCGAGAGGCGGGGCAAGTCGCGATTAAGGTTGATGATGAGCGAGGACCATGACTCTGGGAGTAAGGCCAGCAACTTGGTCTTCTTTTGGAGCTCACTGTAGTTCAAATCAGCTCCCTCAAGCCGCGTCAACAAGTCGAAGAATTTCTGCACCCCTTCTTCAACCGCTTCGTCTTCTTCAATTCGTAGTGCCGCCATTTGTCGTTCCAACACCACCGCTACCGCCGCTGTTGCAGGAGCATGTACACCCTTGAGAGCAGCCCATGCCTTTGGTCCTTTCTCTGGTTCACGCTGGAATGGCTTGATGTGACGGATCTGACTGCTCCCCAACGCTTGCCCAAGTAAGAGATAGCCTTGTGCGCTCTTCCGCACCCACGGGCTCTTCTCCGGGTCGTTCTCGGGGCGCTTCTCCGTTCCTTCCATCACCTCCAGCAGGTCATAGTGGTCAAAGATGTTCTCCATCTTGAAGGACCATTCAGCAAAGTTGTCACCGTTGAACTTGTCAAGCCCAAACACCCTAGGCTCATCCCTAGGTGGGCCAAGACTTGGTTGCATGGGCGCCATGGCTGAATCACGGGGTTGGCCTTGAGCTTGAGCTTCTCCACTGCCACCAGAACCTCTGCCACCCCTTTCCTCAGGTCCAGACATTGTCGAAACTGCTCCAAGGGGCTCTGATACCACTTGTTATAGTCACAGTAGGCTCCAATGTGCCTAAAACGAAAGATAGAGTGCACAGCCGGATTTCTGCACAGCGGCTTCAAACGTTCATAGCGTTCTGGTCACGGCTTCAAATGACCTGATTCAACTTGGATCTGGCGCGTCTTAATGTCGTCTACAATTAGCAATTTAGATTGCACGATTTGATAAAGAATTGACGACACAGCGTCGGTTTGAACGAACGGTACTATGGCAGCCACTATAGTCTTAGAACACAAGATAGGAAGAGTTAGCAAGGGTTACGAGTTGGGAATGACTCCCAGCTCCTACAAACCCCAAGAGCCGAGGTACAGTGATGTGGAACAGTGCCACACTGTCCCCAACCACGAAGGGTCTCGAAACTACCCTTCACTAGGGCCTACACCAAGTGAAATGTTACACTACACAAAGTAATGTAACTATCTTCAATATCTTGAGGTGTACCCTTTTTGGCGAGCTTCGAAATCACTTGAGGCTTGACACCAAGGCTCGGGCTCTTCATCACAAACTCATCCTTGAGTTCTTGATGGGTCTGCTGCACACACCTGCGACACACCGAACGTTCGACACAGGACAAAATAGAAACCGCGCACGACAAAATAGAAACCGCGCGCGAGACACAAACGACCGCGTAACACGCGTCTAGCGATAACTCGCTATTGACTCGACACACACACTTGACATCATGACTCAACATTCACACACAATTATAAGCATGAAATATATATTATCCCATGCCCTCATACCATTCCATACACACACACATTCACGCACATGGACAACAAGCCGAGTGCAAACCGTAGGGTTGCACCAACAGGTTGGGTTTCCACAAATTTCGTTTGTTGTTGCCCGCAACCGAGCCCTCAAAATGTTTACGCATGTCACACGCTGTGCGGTTCCCTTTCCTGCCAGGTGCCCCGCTATATGCGTCCACCCGAATCTCGCAGCGCATTCTCTTGGTTTCCGATAGCCTGCAGAGTCTAACACGAGAAGGCGAGGAACATTTCCGGAATCCGAAGGTTTTCACGGTATACCGCTAGTTAACATTCTGCACCGTACTGAAATGTCTACAACTCTCTCGTACGCGACCAGCAGTTGCCCAGTTTTCCTTGCTGAGGATAAATACCACTCGACTAGCAATCGAAATATCATCAGTTCCTTTGCACCTGCCTCACACAACCCGCGTTTATTCTCTTATCCTTAGGAATCGATTCAGCAGCTAGGGAATTTGGTCCGCCATGGGGCTCCGTCCTTACCTCTGCTTGTCAATGTGCCTCCTAGTTGTCACAGCATCCATCAGTGAGTGATATATGAATATTCACCTTTGCTACAGCCGAGATCACCAGCAGAATCCCTATGAATCAATCACAGCGAGATGCTTCATCTTCCACGAGTCCGCTACATTGATTAACTTCTTATTTGCAATTTCAAAAGCTTGTTCCATGTGTGCTTCTGCTGTGCAGGAATCACGACCGCACGCCCTGTGAATAAGGACAATAAAGGCAGGAAGGAAGGACCCCCGGATGCAGGCCCGTGCCCGCTGCCCAAGCCAAAAGATGCTGAGCCTCTCGGGAATCTGACGGGTGAGAACTCTCCGGGAAATCTGACGCATGATAGGAGCTCGGGAAATTTCTAGATGCTTGGCTAACCGTGTGGCATGTCCTTACAAGAATCGACGCGTTGGTTACTGCTTTTACAAACAAAACAGCAGCTTCCCTCCTCTTCTCGCCTCTCATCTATCCTCCTGTCTTTTTCCCCGCACTCTCACAGTCCTCTCCGCCCTTCTCTCATACTCTCTTGCTCTCCCGCTCCCATTCCTCAGCGTGCCCCCCCCCCATCAACCCCCAATCCCCATCCCCCTCCGTTTCCGCGCAGCGATTCTCGCCGCGCGACTGAACGGATCCAATGTGGTTGGGGCGACGGGCGACGTCAATGCCACCAGCCGAATCTGCCTCGCCGTCTTCAAGTAAGCCAGCCACCTGTTTTCTTTCCGATTTCCCTCGAACCACGTCACCTGGTCCTCTCTGCTGCCTTCCGTCCCTCCGTTGAAAACTCAACCTTCCGTCAAACCCACATTATCATCCCGAGAGTGCCTTCATCTCCCTGAGCGATGCGCATTCCGTCCTTCCTTCCCGCTCGCTTGTGTGAACCCTGATGGAAACCGTCAGGCTACACGGCGACTACAACGTTTTCTACAGTGTCGTCACCTCCACCGCCGACGACGGCGAGCCGTTCGACACGACGATCTCGATCGGCACGGCGGGAGAGGGAGGCGACGCCACCGCCCTTTTAGTACAAGCAGGAGAAACCACCACGTGGACGAATCTTACCCGTCCACCGCCTCCGCCGCCCAAGGGAAAAAAAAACAAGGGAACACCGCCCCCTCCGCCTCCTCCGAAGTACACTTATGCGTCAAACGGGACGTGGCTTAACGCGAGTGCAATGCCCATGGTCGGCGGAATGACACTAAAGGTGCTGGTGGATGCGATGCTCGCACAGCCGGATGGTTACTACGCGCCGTTCGCGACGCTTGCTTTGGAGTCGGGTGCGGCGCGGGGGCAGTTTCAGTCGGACCCGCTTCCGCCGCCGCCTAAGGACAAGAAGGGCGGGAATGACGGAGGGAAGAAAGGAGGGAAGGATGGCGGGAAGAACGGCGGGGGGGAGAATGGAGGCGATCAGTTCGGCACTCTTGTCGGTAATCGCATAAGAATTAGAGACTTTACGTCTTTCCGCTCCAAGCCTTCTCCGCGGCTTTTCCTCGCCACTATTCATACTTGCTTAGGAATCAACCGCCAACCGTGCATTGTTTCCTTTCTGTAATTCCGCGATTTCGTGCAGGCGTGGTCGCAGCGTGTGTCAACGGCTCTAATGTTGACCTCCAAGGTGACGTCAACGCCACGGGCTGCGTCATCACAAAAACCCCTCGTTTTTGAATCGCTTGGAAAGGTGTCGAATTGGTTTCGGAAGTTGGGTTGCGTGGGTTGTCCAACTTTTTTCGCCCAACCACCAGCGAAACTGTGTAATTTTCCAATTTCGATTTGGTTTCGCGCTTCCGATCCGACTCGCGAGTCAGTGTGCGCCTCGGCGAAACGAAATTGGCCCTGTTTTGGGCCAATGTCAGGTGTACAGTGCTTGTTTTGACCAGGTTGAAAAAGCAGTTTCGAGATTGGGAGTGCTGCTTTCCCGGGAACCTATCCTGGACCATCGAGCCACAGCCTTGCTTGGCTTACGACCAGACCTGGCTATAAAATGTGTCAGGGGCCTGCTAAATTGGTATCGTTTAGGAGTGATTTAAGACCAAGATGAGCCTACAGTCCTTTTATACGTGTGAACAAATTCTACATAATTACAAAATTATTTCCAAAAACTCTGACAGGTTTTTGGTTAAACAATCACATGTGCATGTACATATATATCATGAAAATTTATAGATTGTAATTGCATGTAACATAGGGTTAAAATACCGTGGCTACTTTGCTGTCTATGAAATCGTACTGGTAATCACATGCATTGATACATATTCCTAATTTAGAAGAAACTTGTTAAGATAGAATGCATTGTCGCTGTGGTAGGACTTGATGATGTGCACCTGGCGCAGTATGCTTTCCGTGTCAATCACTGAGTATCGCGATACCCCGGTTGCCCACCTAAGACGTTTGCACCCTGTTTTTGCATCCTCGCCTGCGCTAGACCAGTACTTCATGTATGCCAACTCCCTCGTGCACCCTCTCTCTTTCGTATGGAACAACAACAAGAGCTTTCCGTACCACTCCGTCTCTGCACCCGTCGCTGTTGTTCCCATGATAGCAACATTAGAGAACCACGGCCTGGAGTGGGACAGCAGGGTTGCTTTCACGAAATGTGCTACACGGGAAAAACTAGCACCTTCTGCAGTAGGGATCGCGAGGGTTGTGTGAGCCTGCATCAAGTAAGAGACATGTATCAGTACAAAGTAACCTTCATTTGCGTATGGTATTTGGTTGATGTCAACCATATAACAACTTACACGAACTTTCGTTGGCCTCAGCTGGCGTCGAAGCAATGCACCCGCAAAGGCATGGTGTGCCTCGCTGTGGTCCTTCGCCCACTCACGGACAAACCAGTTGGCATAGGGAGTGACATCGGCGGGGTTCACAGGGAAGAAGTAGGACTCCTTCACCATCACCCGAGCTCCATCCTCGATTGCCTGACACGGGCCAAACAACGCAGAGAATGCAACATAAAAATCAGAATCGCATCATCCAGCAGTAAATATCAACCTATCCTCCCCTTTCCCTTGCTTCCCTACCTGCGCTGCACTCCCCCTTTTGCTGCTCCCTCCCGTGCCTGACGCTAACTCTTCCCCTGCTACCCCCCTATGAACTGCCGGCAAACATTCCTTGCCCCCTAGCCCGAAGTGCCCGGCTCCCAGCACCTCCCCTCACATCACTCACCATCTCTGCACCTCCCCTCACAGCACTCAGCATCTCAGCACCTCCCCTCACAGCACTCAGCATCTCAGCACCTCCCTCACAGCACTCACCATCTCAGCACCTCCCTCACAGCACTCACCATCTCAGCACCTCCCTCACAGCACTCACCATCTCAGCACCTCCCTCACAGCACTCACCATCTCAGCACCTCCCTCACACCACTCACCATCTCAGCACCTCCCCTCATTGCACTCACCATCTCAGCACCTCCCCTCACACCACTCAGCATCCCCGCACCTCCCCTCACAGAACTCACCATCTCAGCACCTCCCTCACAGCACTCACCATCTCAGCACCTCCCTCACACCACTCACCATCTCAGCACCTCCCTCACAGCACTCACCATCTCAGCACCTCCCTCACACCACTCACCATCTCAGCACCTCCCTCACAGCACTCACCATCTCAGCACCTCCCTCACACCACTCACCATCTCAGCACCTCCCCTCATTGCACTCACCATCTCAGCACCTCCCCTCACACCACTCAGCATCTCCGCACCTCCCCTCACAGCACTCACCATCTCAGCACCTCCCTCACAGCACTCACCATCTCAGCACCTCCCTCACAGCACTCACCATCTCAGCACCTCCCTCACAGCACTCACCATCTCAGCACCTCCCTCACAGCACTCACCATCTCAGCACCTCCCTCACAGCACTCACCATCTCAGCACCTCCCTCACAGCACTCACCATCTCAGCACCTCCCTCACACCACTCACCATCTCAGCACCTCCCCTCACTGTACTCACCATCTCAGCAACTCCCCTCACACCACTCAGCATCTCAGCACCTCCCCTCACAGCACCTTCTGTTTTAGCAGCACATCCTTTGGCGCTCCTTACCGTTTGCATAGCCGTTTGTACGCCGTCGGTGGGCACGTTGCTGATGGAGTCTAGCTTCATCTCGTGGTGCTTCATGATCTGCGTGTCCACTTTCCGCTTATTCGATCTCCTATAGATCTGCTTCAGCAGCGTGCTATGCAGGTTTTCGAAGAGGTTGGTGCTGTACTCTTGCACATTCCCAGCTCGTCGAATTCCAGGAATGAAATGAGTCATCAAGTGTGTTTTGATGAGGTTCCACTTTGATTTCTGCTCGGGGAAGGCAGCCCTGAGGAGCTCCACGAGCCTGGAATGGTGTGGGAGCGTGATGATGAATGCAGTATAAGGAAAGGCGTGCTTGGAACCTCTATGAGAGCAGTATAAGGAGAAGCGTGCATGGAACCTCTACGAATCACATAGGCAGTGTGACGGTCTAGGGTGTTTCGTTTGTGAGGTACCTTGCTGATTTGGCTTGTAGTTCGGTGAGACTTCTCTCCGTGTGAGTGGCGGCGTTGCAGCATAGATACCAGTCAAGGCATGCTCTGATTGCCTCCAGCTGGGGCGAGCCGACAATGTCAGCCACCAAAAAAATCAACACCTGGAGGCATGCAGTACCATGTGTGGGACAACTCAGAGAGAGGCCACCACATAGAATGCTGATTGGATATTATTGTCATGACGGTGTACTGGCTGGTTTACAGTCGATCTTGGCAACGAACCAACACAGTGCTACAGCAGCATTAACCTGCCCACAAACATCCAGCCCACCAACCCAACTCCGCTCCCCTTCCTCTTCCCTCCCTGCCAAGCTCGCCCCACTCTTCCCACCTTCCCCCTTCCCCCTCTCCAAGGTATTCACCTCAAAGGATCATACCTGCATGACGGATCGGTGTTCAAAGGCTGCCACTTGTGCCCCGGTTTTAAAGTACTCGCTCTTCGGGAACCGCAGAGAGTTGATACGTGTTTTCAGGGTAAGCTTTAGAAGACGCCTGCGTACAGTAGGATCAGATTTTGGATGTGGGGGGCATAGGATCACGACGGAATAAAGTTTAGATGACGGAATACCATTTGGATACAGGTAAGCTTACAATTTTGTGCGTGACGTGGTAACGAGGAACCATGGTTCATCAAATAGAGGCATCGTGCATTTCCAGCCGGGCGGGGCAAGAGGCACTCACAAATCCAGAATCTTCATCATCGTTGGGTGTTGGGCGCGGATGCATCTCACGATGTGGTCCAGCATCCCCAGGTCTGCCTGGTGCATGATGTCCGCCATGATAGCAAGGAAAGGATTTCCCCACGGCGAAGAGCCAACCTGCCACTTCCATCAAGCACACTGTGCAGGTAGTACAGCAGGGAATGCGAAGGTTAGGGTGACACTTGACTGCAATTTTCCCCGAGAGGGTGCAGTGTATATGTGATGCATAGCGACTACAGCTGGCATTCGGTCAAATACTTACGTCGATGTCGAACGTCGAGTACAACTTCAGCGGATTGTCATCTGCTCCGTCAGCGATTCCAGCTGCCTCGTCTCTAACCCACTGTTGTTGTGCGGGTGTGCAAACGTTGTTGGTTAGCTCCTCAGATGACAGGCTTTCCTGTGGTGGCCGGGGGTATTCACAGCACAAAGGGGACGAGCAATAAAAGCCATTGAACACGCACATACATAGATATGAAACGCACACAGCCTTGTTTGCGGATGGGGCATAATTACATGCCTGGTCGACAAATCTGGGGGCTTCCACTACTCATCCACATCCTCTTCCCTCCCCATCCTAGCACCTCCCTCCCCCTCCCAGCACTCACCATCCCAGCACCACACCGTCACAGAACTCACCCTCCCAGCACTCACCTCCCAGCACTCACCCTCCCAGCACTATCCATCCCAGCAGCACACCGTCGCAGCACTCACCTCCCATCCTAGCACCACACCGGCGCAGAACTCACCCTCCCAGCACACACCATCCCCGAACTCACCCTCCCAGCACTCACCCTCCCAGCACTCACCATCCCAGAACTCACCCTCCCAGCACTCACCATCATAGCACCACACCGGCGCACAACTCACCCTCCCAGCACACACCATCCCCGAACTCACCCTCCCAGCACTCACCCTCCCAGCACTCACCATCCCAGAACTCACCCTCCCAGCACTCACCATCATAGCACCACACCGGCGCACAACTCACCCTCCCAGCACACACCATCCCCGAACTCACCCTCCCAGCACTCACCATCCCAGCACTCACCCTCCCAGCACTCACCCTCCCAGCACTCACCATCATAGCACTCACCATCATAGCACCACACCGTCGCAGAACTCACCCTCCCAGCACTCACCATCCCAGCACTCACCATCCCAGCACTCACCATCCCCGAACTCACCCTCCCAGCACTCACCCTCCCAGCACTCACCATCCCAGCACTCACCCTCCCAGCACTCACCCTCCCAGCACTCACCATCATAGCACCACACCATCGCAGAACTCACCCTCCCAGCACTCACCATTCCAGCACTCACCCTCCCAGCACTCACCATCCCAGAACTCACCCTCCCAGCACTCACCATCATAGCACCACACCGGCGCACAACTCACCCTCCCAGCACACACCATCCCCGAACTCACCCTCCCAGCACTCACCCTCCCAGCACTCACCATCCCAGAACTCACCCTCCCAGCACTCACCTCCCAGCACTCACCCTCCCAGCACTATCCATCCCAGCAGCACACCGTCGCAGCACTCACCTCCCATCCTAGCACCACACCGGCGCAGAACTCACCCTCCCAGCACACACCATCCCCGAACTCACCCTCCCAGCACTCACCCTCCCAGCACTCACCATCCCAGAACTCACCCTCCCAGCACTCACCATCATAGCACCACACCGGCGCACAACTCACCCTCCCAGCACATTCCATCCCCGAACTCACCCTCCCAGCACTCACCCTCCCAGCACTCACCATCCCAGAACTCACCCTCCCAGCACTCACCATCATAGCACCACACCGGCGCACAACTCACCCTCCCAGCACACACCATCCCCGAACTCACCCTCCCAGCACTCACCCTCCCAGCACTCACCATCCCAGAACTCACCCTCCCAGCACTCACCATCATAGCACCACACCGGCGCACAACTCACCCTCCCAGCACACACCATCCCCGAACTCACCCTCCCAGCACTCACCATCCCAGCACTCACCCTCCCAGCACTCACCCTCCCAGCACTCACCATCATAGCACTCACCATCATAGCACCACACCGTCGCAGAACTCACCCTCCCAGCACTCACCATCCCAGCACTCACCATCCCAGCACTCACCATCCCCGAACTCACCCTCCCAGCACTCACCCTCCCAGCACTCACCATCCCAGCACTCACCCTCCCAGCACTCACCCTCCCAGCACTCACCATCATAGCACCACACCGTCGCAGAACTCACCCTCCCAGCACTCACCATCCCAGCACTCACCCTCCCAGCACTCACCATCCCAGAACTCACCCTCCCAGCACTCACCATCATAGCACCACACCGGCGCACAACTCACCCTCCCAGCACACACCATCCCCGAACTCACCCTCCCAGCACTCACCCTCCCAGCACTCACCATCCCAGAACTCACCCTCCCAGCACTCACCTCCCAGCACTCACCCTCCCAGCACTATCCATCCCAGCAGCACACCGTCGCAGCACTCACCTCCCATCCTAGCACCACACCGGCGCAGAACTCACCCTCCCAGCACACACCATCCCCGAACTCACCCTCCCAGCACTCACCCTCCCAGCACTCACCATCCCAGAACTCACCCTCCCAGCACTCACCATCATAGCACCAAACCGGCACACAACTCACCCTCCCAGCACACACCATCCCCGAACTCACCCTCCCAGCACTCACCATCCCAGCACTCACCCTCCCAGCACTCACCCTCCCAGCACTCACCATCATAGCACTCACCATCATAGCACCACACCGTTGCAGAACTCACCCTCCCAGCACTCACCATCCAAGCACTCACCATCCCCGAACTCACCCTCCCAGCACTCACCCTCCCAGCACTCACCATCCCAGCACTCACCCTCCCAGCACTCACCCTCCCAGCACTCACCATCCCAGAACTCACCCTCCCAGCACTCACCATCATAGCACCACACCGGCGCACAACTCACCCTCCCAGCACACACCATCCCCGAACCAGCCCTAGCCAGAATGCCTAGGGAAGGAAAGCAGGCATTGTCCCACATTACAGCCGGAATCGCTGGAATATCACCCGGTCTGAACGCAAGCTTCGAAGGACCAACCTACAGAGCTCCGCACAAGCTGATTTTGGGATGGAAGGTTCATAGCACTAATTATAGGCACCACACAAAGAATCAGCCCTATCCAGAATGCCTAGGGAAGGAAAGCAGGCATTGTCCCACATTACAGCCGGAATCGCTGGAATATCACCCGGTTTCAACGCAAGCTTCGAAGGACCAACCTACAGAGCTCCGCACAAGCTGATTTTGGAATGGAAGGTTCATAGCACTAATTATAGGCACCACACAAAGAACCAGCCCTATCCAGAATGCCTAGGGAAGGAAAGCAGGCATTGTCCCACATTACGGCCGGAATCGCTGGAATATCACCCGGTTTCAACGCAAGCTTCGAAGGACCAACCTACAGAGCTCCCCACAAGCTGATTTTGGGATGGAAGGTTCATAGCACTAATTATAGGCACCACACAAAGAACCAGCCCTATCCAGAATGCCTAGGGAAGGAAAGCAGGCATTGTCCCACATTACAGCCGGAATCGAGGGAATATCACCCGGTTTCAACGCAAGCTTCGAAGGACCAACCTACAGAGCTCCGCACAAGCTGATTTTAGGATGGAAGGTTCATAGCACTAATTATAGGCACCACACAAAGAACCAGCCCTATCCAGAATGCCTAGGGAAGGAAAGCAGGCATTGTCCCACATTACAGCCGGAATCGCGGGAATATCACCCGGTTTCAACGCAAGCTTCGAAGGACCAACCTACAGAGCTCCGCACAAGCTGATTTTGGGATGGAAGGTTCATAGCACTAATTATAGGCACCACACAAAGAACCAGCCCTATCCAGAATGCCTAGGCAAGGAAAGCAGGCATTGTCCCACATTACAGCCGGAATCGCTGGAATATCACCCGGTTTCAACGCAAGCTTCGAAAGACCAACCTACAGAGCTCCGCACAAGCTGATTTTAGGATGGAAGGTTCATAGCACTAATTATAGGCACCACACAAAGAATCAGCCCTATCCAGAATGCCTAGGGAAGGAAAGCAGGCATTGTCCCACATTACAGCCGGAATCGCTGGAATATCACCCGGTTTCAACGCAAGCTTCGAAAGACCAACCTACAGAGCTCCCCACAAGCTTATTTTGGGATGGAAGGTTCATAGAACTAATTATAGGCACCACACAAAGAACCAGCCCTATCCAGAATGCCTAGGGAAGGAAAGCAGGCATTGTCCCACATTACAGCCGGAATCGCGGGAATATCACCCGGTTTCAACGCAAGCTTCGAAGGACCAACCTACAGAGCTCCGCACAAGCTGATTTTAGGATGGAAGGTTCATAGCACTAATTATAGGCACCACACAAAGAACCAGCCCTATCCAGAATGCCTAGGGAAGGAAAGCAGGCATTGTCCCACATTACAGCCGGAATCGCTGGAATATCACCCGGTTTCAACGCAAGCTTCGAAGGACCAACCTACAGAGCTCCGCACAAGCTGATTTTGGGATGGAAGGTTCATAGCACTAATTATAGGCACCACACAAAGAACCAGCCCTATCCAGAATGCCTAGGGAAGGAAAGCAGGCATTGTCCCACATTACAGCCGGAATCGCTGGAATATCACCCGGTTTCAACGCAAGCTTCGAAGGACCAACCTACAGAGCTCCGCACAAGCTGATTTTGGGATGGAAGGTTCATAGCACTAATTATAGGCACCACACAAAGAATCAGCCCTATCCAGAATGCCTAGGGAAGGAAAGCAGGCATTGTCCCACATTACAGCCGGAATCGCTGGAATATCACCCGGTTTCAACGCAAGCTTCGAAAGACCAACCTACAGAGCTCCCCACAAGCTTATTTTGGGATGGAAGGTTCATAGAACTAATTATAGGCACCACACAAAGAACCAGCCCTATCCAGAATGCCTAGGGAAGGAAAGCAGGCATTGTCCCACATTACAGCCGGAATCGCGGGAATATCACCCGGTTTCAATGCAAGCTTCGAAGGACCAACCTACAGAGCTCCGCACAAGCTGATTTTAGGATGGAAGGTTCATAGCACTAATTATAGGCACCACACAAAGAACCAGCCCTATCCAGAATGCCTAGGGAAGGAAAGCAGGCATTGTCCCACATTACAGCCGGAATCGCGGGAATATCACCCGGTTTCAACGCAAGCTTCGAAGGACCAACCTACAGAGCTCCGCACAAGCTGATTTTAGGATGGAAGGTTCATAGCACTAATTATAGGCACCACACAAAGAACCAGCCCCATCCAGAATGCCTAGGGAAGGAAAGCAGGCATTGTCCCACATTACAGCCGGAATCGCTGGAATATCACCCGGTTTCAACGCAAGCTTCGAAGGACGAAGAGGACGGGAAGTCGGACGATGAGCAGGGGGGTGAAGAGGAGGCAGGGCAGGGGAGTGCAATAAATGAGCAGGCGAAAGGGGAGGCAGGCGCGGATGCATATCAGCATGAGGTCACGAGGAAGACAAGCTTCGACGAGATGCGGGAAGAGCAGGGTGAGGGTGATGGTGATGCCATGGAGGATGAGGCTGTGGCAGAGCAACGTGCTTTGCTGCTTGGGAAGCTAAAGGCACTCGATGAGATCAAGGAACTCGTTGTCAGTTCTAAGCTCGCTGGAAAGGGTGCGAATTCTCTTCCGCGTCCAGGACCCTCTAAGGTTCTTGCTAAGCCTCCGCGAGGGAAACCTACTGTCGCCGAGGCGAAGGGAAAGGAGAAATTGGTGGAGAAAGAGAGCGGGCTTGGTGCGAAGACGAAAAGGGAGTCCCCCTTGGTGGTTGGTGGTGTAAAGAAAAAGCAAAAATGTGGTGGAGTTCCGGGCAAATCGAAGGCAACTCCAAAGCCAGCACCAGCTGAGGCAAAAAGGGTTAAGCATAATGCAGGTGGGGGGGCTAAACCTACATCTAAGAAGGCCAACACCAAAACCAAAGGTGAAAATTTCCCTTCCTCCCATCTCTTCTGTCCCCTTCCTCCCATCCCTTCCGTCCCCATCATCCCATCTCTTCCGCCCCTTCCTCCCATCCCTTGCGTCCCCATCATCCCATCTCTTCCATCCCCATCATCCCATCTCTTCCATCCCCATCCTCCCATCTATTTTGTCCCCTTCCTCCCTCCCATCTCTTCCGTCCCCTTCCTCCCATCCCTTCCGTCCCCATCATCCCATCTCTTCCATCCCCATCATCCCATCTCTTCCATCCCATCCTCCCATCTATTTTGTCCCCTTCCTCCCTCCCATCTCTACAGTCCCCTTCCTCCCATCCCTTCCGTCCCCATCATCCCATCCCTTCCGTCCCCATCATCCCATCTCTTCCATCCCCATCATCCCATCTCTTCCATCCCCATCCTCCCATCTATTTTGTCCCCTTCCTCCCTCCCATCCCTTCCGTCCCCTTCCTCCCATCCCTTCCGTCCCCATCATCCCATCTCTTCCATCCCCATCCTCCCATCTATTTTGTCCCCTTCCTCCCTCCCATCTCTTCCGTCCCCTTCCTCCCATCCCTTCCGTCCTCATCATCCCATCTCTTCAAGCCCCATCCTCCCATCACTTTTGTCCCCTTCCTCCCTCCCATCTCTTCCGTCCCCTTCCTCCCATCCCTTCCGTCCCCATCATCCCATCTCTTCCGTCCCCATCATCCCATCCCTTCCGTCCCCATCATCCCATCTCTTCCGTCCCCTTCCTCCCATCCCTTCCGTCCCCATTATCCCATCTCTTCCATCCCCATCCTCCCATCTATTTTGTCCCCTTCCTCCCTCCCATCTCTTCCGTCTCCTTCCTCCCATCCCTTCCGTCCCCATCATCCCATCTCTTCCGTCCCCATCATCCCATCCCTTCTGTCCCCATCATCCCATCTCTTCCGTCCCCTTCCTCCCATCCCTTCCGTCCCCATCATCCCATCTCTTCCATCCCCATCATCCCATCTCTTCCATCCCCATCCTCCCATCTATTTTGTCCCCTTCCTCCCTCCCATCTCTTCCGTCCCCTTCCTCCCATCCCTTCCGTCCCCATCATCCCATCCCTTCCTTCCCCATCATCCCATCTCTTCCATCCCCATCATCCCATCTCTTGCATCCCCATCCTCCCATCTATTTTCTCCCCTTCCTCCCTCCCATCCCTTCCGTCCCCTTCCTCCCATCCCTTCCGTCCCCATCATCCCATCTCTTCCATCCCCATCATCCCATCACTTCCATCCCCATCCTCCCATATATTTTGTCCCCTTCCTCCCTCCCATCTCTTCCGTCCCCTTCCTCCCATCCCTTCCGTCCCCATCATCCCATCTCTTCAAGCCCCATCCTCCCATCACTTTTGTCCCCTTCCTCCCTCCCATCTCTTCCGTCCCCTTCCTCCCATCCCTTCCGTCCCCATCATCCCATCTCTTCCGTCCCCATCATCCTATCCCTTCCGTCCCCATCATCCCATCTCTTCCGTCCCCTTCCTCCCATCCCTTACGTCCCCATCATCCCATCTCTTCCATCCCCATCATCCCATCTCTTCCATCCCCATCCTCCCATCTATTTTGTCCCCTTCCTCCCTCCCATCTCTTCCGTCCCCTTCCTCCCATCCCTTCCGTCCCCATCATCCCATCTCTTCATGCCCCATCCTCCCATCACTTTTGTCCCCTTCCTCCCTCCCATCTCTTCCGTCCCCTTCCTCCCATCCCTTCCGTCCCCATCATCCCATCTCTTCCATCCCCATCATCCCATCTCTTCCATCCCCATCCTCCCATCTATTTTGTCCCCTTCCTCCCTCCCATCTATTCCGTCCCCTTCCTCCCATCCCTTCCGTCCCCATCATCCAATCTCTTCAAGCCTCATCCTCCCATCTATTTTGTCCCCTTCCTCCCTCCCATCTCTTCCGTCC